CTTCAATGGCCTTCCAAGTCAATTTTTCCAAGAAATTTGAAGTAATCTATTCTAGTCTCAGAGACAAATTTAATGGTCCTCTTTGCGTGAAGAAAGCCATGTCTGTGTAGTTGGAGTAAGCTGTGCATTCGAAGCATCATTCAGACACATTGATAAAGACGTAAAAAACAGATAAGCTGGATTTTCTGTCCCGCAGAAGATCTTTCAATATGCATTTTATCTTGATTTTCAGATATTTGTCAGGTACTCTTGGTTCTAATACTTTGTTGATCTCTAGGTATCTTTTAAGTAGCACCCTACAAGTTTTCTTTTTTTTTTTTTCCACTAAGGAAGATTAGCCCTGAGCTAACATCTGTGCCAATCTTCCTCTATTTTGTCTGTGGGTCACCTGCCACAGCATGGGTGGTGAGTGGAGTAGATCTGCGCCCAAGTCTGAACCCTCCAGCCTGCTGCCAAAGCAGTGCATGCAGAACTTGAACCACTTGGCCACGGGCTGGGCCCTAAGTTTTCTGATTAGAATCAAAACCCATTTTTGAGTAATCAACCTCTTATGAAATTGGTTGTTAATACACATTAACTTTTTTGGAATAGCGGAAAAGGGTGAAGTGACCAATGGGTGAAAAAATAGAAGTTTCTAAGGTTATGGAACTCATTAATGAGCCAAAGGGTTCAAGTATTTTAATTGAAAAAAGGCTAATATTAAGGTTTCAAATGAAGTCCTTGAAGAAGCAAGAGTTAAATCTCAAATTTGATGCTAGGAATGTTCTAGTTTAAAATTAAACATTCTCCTTATACCTTTACCAATCTGAAACAAACAAAAAAAATTATTATAGTTTATGATGACCAAATCATACTGTTTTCTTTGTTGGTGTTTTAAGTTTGCTTGTTTTAAATCAGGAAAAATCAAAATATGAACTAGTCCAAATGATTTTTTCCATTAACATTATATTTATTTGTTATTCATCTATTTCAGACATTCTTTAAGAATTTCCACCTCCCACTCTGCTCCCCCCTCCAGCCTTGGCAAGATCCAATTCTACTGGGAGAAAAGAGTTCTAATGTTTGGGACAGCTGGGCCTTCATTGCTGAACAATTAGTGTCATTTGGACTAAGTTTCTTTGTGACAAAGCCATTTTAATACAACTCACTGAGATCTCTTTTTATATTTGAACAACAAAAAGGGAATAGTTTAGCTAGCTCCATGTCACAATCCTTCACCTTATATAATTGCTTTATAGCACTTACCTCTACAAATCATACAGTCACTATTTAGATATTGGATGTCTTTGGCTTCACTCCTAGACTGCACAGGCCATGAAGATATGGGTAGTATTTTCTCACTTCCCAATATCTAGAAAAGTTGGTATTGAACAAATATTGGTTTAATGAATTTTAGTTGAAAGGTTATTGGGCTTTAAGATAAAAAAGAAAGGTTCTCTTGGCTTCTAAATCATAGCCATAGACAACTAAATTCTCTGTGATTAAGCTTCTTCATCTGCAAAACGAAAGTCATATTTATACCTACCTCATGTTGTTGTTTTGAGAATAAATGAGTTATTAGATAGTAAATACTTAGAAAAAGACCTGGCACATAGTGAGATTTCGGTAACTGTTAGATATTGATGTTGTTATAACTATTATTATCAGTTTCTTCTAAGCATCCACCCCCTAGTTCCAGTAATAGTTCCTCCCCTCCACTCCTTGTAGTCCCTGAGTTTTAGGTGGGGCTGCTAGCCTAACTCTTCCTGCAGCTTCAGAGAGGACAGGAGACCCGAATGCACCAAATATGCGTGCTCTGTACCTATTGGCACAAGGCTAGGTTGGGTTAATACGAGCCAAGTGATTCCAATTTAAACGAGGCCACCAGAGAGTAAAGCTGAACTTAAGTAGGTTGATAATGTGGAGAGAAAGAGAAAGAAAGAAAAGGAAGAGGGGGAGAGGGGAAGGGAGGAGAGGAGTAGAGAGGGAAGAGGACTGATGAGGAGAGGAGACCAATGACATCATCTGAGCCCCTGAATCCATCAATCTATCATCTGGACTTACATGAGCCAATACATTTCTTAAATTTCCTGTTTTTGGTTTTGGCCAGTCTGATTTAGATTAGGCTTAGATTTCTGTCAATTGCAACCACTAAAAAACAACCATTGATTCTTTGTCTGCTGAAGGAGGGAGTTAGACAAAGTTATCTCCAATGAAATTCTAAAATCCTGTATTGCTATGGCAGTAATCTCACCCTCGAGGATGTAGGAAAGTCTATTCAGATGGCAACAATTATCTTGTAGGGTCTGTAATGAGTTCACCATCCCTTACTCCCCAAGAGTGGCTCAGGTGGCAGGGGATTCTCCCATGACAAGTCTGACACTGACTTAGAACATTCTTTCATATACCAAGTCTTCTTCCCAGGTAGAAAGAGAAAAGCTGGATAAAATGGCTATATTTCCTATTGAAAAAAAGGAAAATTCATAGTGAATGCAGCAGGAAGGCAAAAAGTCAAGAAGAAAATGCAAAAGGCCTGATACGCTGCAGCGTTTCATAGAGGGAAACCCTTTTCATCTGCTCACAGTGGGTTTTCAAAACAATTGAGGAAAAGTAGACGTTTGTGAACTAGAACTACAGCAAGCTGTCAAGGGATTTCTTTTCTAATTTTCGGAATTTAGGAAAAAGGCTACCAGCTCTGTGGTAGCCAAGAGGATGGCAGTTAAATAACCTGAGTTCTAAACTTGGCACAAACACTCGGAAGCTAAGAGTAAGTTGAGGGACATCATTTTAAGCTTGAACATCAGTTTCCCTACCTGGATATATGAGGGGTCAAAAAGATGATATCCAAGATCTACCCCGGCTCTTA